AATTGTCTAATCCGAATCCGATCCGAGTTTTGAAAAAGAATTCCAATCCGATCCGAAGAATTCTTTAATAAAATAAATTTCTCATTCAAGTTGAAATATTTAACCAAATAAATATAAAAGCAAGAAATACATGTCAAGAAGCTGACAAAGTGACGTCCAATTGAAGTATCAAACGAATAATGCAGCGAAAACCGCGATGATACTTTGATAAATGTATGGATAATTAATTCTTGCGATAATGCATGGATAATTAATTCATTTTATTTCGGATATCGAAGTCCGATCCGACTACGAAACAACTTTATCAATCCGATCCGAAATTTACATTTTGGTTCCGAAATCCGAACGAATCCGATCGGATTCGGATCGGATTTGCACACCTCTACAATGGACCTTAATTTCCCCATTTGAGTGAAATTTTGATCTAGACAAGCCTGGACAAAAATTTCACCACAGCTTGAAAGAGCATCGCAAAATTAGTAATATTCCGAAGTTTCGTTGAATGTTGTAAAATGCGGATAATATAGCCTTGCGAAGTTTGCCGTTTTTCAGTCATTTCGCATTACAAACGGGCAATTGATAATCAGATGATCAAACTGATTATCAATTTCCCATTTGTAATACAATGACTGAAAAACGGCAAACTTCGCAAGGCTATATTATCCGCATTTTACAACATTTCGCAGCGAAACTTCGGAATTTCACTAATTTTGTGATGCTCTTTCAAGCTGTGATGAAATTTTTGTGTACAATAGGCTTGTCTAGATCAAAATTTCACTCATCAGGGGAAAGGTCTATTGATTAATTTTAAGCGGCTACATTATCCATGACGGGACTAGCTAACAGTCGTGGGTCGTGGGTCGTGGGTAGAATGTCGTGGGTCGTGGGTAAAAAGGCGTGGGTCGTGGGTAAAAAGGCGTGGGTCGTGGGTAAAAAGGCGTGGGTCGTGGGTAAAAAGTCGTGGGTCGTGGGTAAAAAGTCGTGGGTTCCGAGCAAAATATTTCCATATATTTACCTTTCTCCCTTTGGAATGCGTGTTTTTTTTTTCTTCTGAGGCTTTCCCAAATATACATAGTCCTAAAGCGCGTTAAGGCTGGGTTTTGGATATCCGCAGATCGGTTTATAAATATTCTAATCAAGTGTAGATGAAACAGTTCAACTTCACGCCCCATATAGCTCAAATATTTGGACTTTAAAATCTTATAGACAGATAAATTAATTACTGTAATTCTTCAATAGGAATGTAGCTCAAGGCCCACATGTATATACGAAAGCTGAATATTGCTATCCACTAGATATAGTCAAATTTGTATAACCGGCAATGGCATAATATGTTTTCAGAGCTATATATGGAACTGCGGAGTATAGTTAACCATTTAATGAAATAATATGACATTTGACTTATATATGGTCTTCATGTATATACTATACAAAGAAGATCGCCGGTCTGCAAAATAGTGATGCATCGATATCCATATCGGTAATTTTGTTGTTGATATTACCGACATCGTCGTAAACATTACAAGAAAATATATCTCCGATGTCTATCCTAAACGATTTATTTAACACTGAGATGTGGAATTGTAAGGAAATAGGGAGATATTTTGGTTTCTGAAATATCGCAAACTACAAACGGAACAAACCTTGCATGTAAACAATGCTCGGACTGTTTTCCAAATTCTAACTTGCCATTGACTTCGCTGAAACTTGATGCTCAAGAAATATATAGAAGTATACCTCTCTGTTATCAAACATACGGTAAAATAATCCGACAAAAGCCTACTGAAAGATAAGTCAAAGCATGAATGTTACAAATACTGTATGTGACTGTATATTTGTAACTTATGTTTGACATTAGAAAATCCAAAGCACATAATAAATTTGACACTAGGATTCACTACTGCAACATGGTTAGACATGCTTTTTTATTTTTCCCTAGTAAATTAACAGAGATTGCATTAAATTAACACTGTGACGTCCAAGTGAAAATTTCTCGCTTTAATATTACTTTAAGAACATCGATCAACAAATTTAGTGAAGCCCTGAATGTCACAATTTAGCTATTTATGGCAGCACTATTTCCTATTGAAGAATTACAATAGTTATCTGTCTATAAGGTTATAACGTCCAAATATTTGAGCTATATCGGGCGTGAAGTTGAACTGTTTCATCCACACTTGGTTATAATTTTATATAAACAGATCTGCCGATATCAAAAACCCGGCCTTAACGCGCTCTAAGACTATGTATATTTGGGCATAGTTTGGGAAAAACTCAGAAGAAAAAAAACACGCATTCCAAAGGGAGAAAGGTAAATTTATGGAAATATTTTGCTTGCAACCCACGACTTTCTCAGGACCCAGGACTTCTTATTCGGGACCCACAATTTTTTACCCACGCCTTTTTACCCACGACCCACGCCTTTTTACCCACGACCCACGCCTTTTTACCCACGACCCACGCCTTTTTACCCACGACCCACGCCTTTTTACCCACGACCCACGCCTTTTTACCCACGACCCACGACATTCTACCCACGACCCACGACCTTTTTACCCACGACCCACGCCTTTTTACCCACGACCCACGACATTTTACCCACGACCCACGACATTTTACCCACAACCCACGACATTCTACCCACGACCCACGACTGTTAGCTAGTCCC